CACACACACACACACACACACATATATATATAATATATATATATATATATATATATACATATATATTATAGCATTATCGTATGTTAACGAGTATATGAGTATATGCAGATGAAATATGTAAACAACATGTATATAGAATATAAGTGTGTGGTAAATGAACACCACATATATTCAAAGACACAGACACACACACAGACACACAGACACACACAGACACAAAGACACACAGACACAAAGACACACAGACACATACACATACATACATACAGACACACACAGGCTCATTCTCACACGCATATACAAACACACGTGTACACACCTGTGTTTTTAGATATATAGAGAAAAAGTAAAAACACGCTCAGGTCTTGTGTGGATATCCGGACGTAGCGAACTGATATGAAGTACCGGCCTTCGGAATAATAAACATTGGTTTTGTGTATCAATTTAGAAGGCTGTGCATGGCCCCCTGAAAACATAGAGGCTATGGTTTTTGAGGTATTCCGTCATTCTGACCAGCTGACCAGAGTGTATGACCAGTGCCTTTAAACAGCGGCTACCTATGTTTAGGATATTGGGTTGGCACATTTAAAAAAATATTTTTAGAATTAAAATTATTATTACATGGTCGTTCACGAGTGTCCTGTGTTCACACCACCCCCAATTGGGAATTCACCACATTGCTACAGTAATTGTACATACCATTGCTGCGAGGTATGTTATCACACAGATCTGCGGGCTTAGCGGCAGCACTGCTACTAGTGCACGCATGTGCAGGCGTACATCTGCACACACAAGACAACAATGTTCCCTCACAGAAGTCCATTGAGCGTTTCAGGGCAGACAACGATGCCTATTTCCACATACCTAAGCAGTTTCTAAAAGACTCAGATGCAGCGTTAGACGATGCGGATACCCCACCAAATGTGGACAAGGTTGTGTCCGTGGTATATAAACACCCTACTACCCATGACTTCTACTTGGCGGAGAAGTCTGCTGCAAGAGCTCGTGACGACCCACGTGCATTGGTTCTGGGGGAGTTCGAGGACAGTGCCAAGGAAACTGGATGGGGACGTTTGTCTATTGAAAGCTTGTTTGACGAGGGTACACCGTTAAGTTGGGTACAGCAGAGCGATGTGTTTTACGCAGCAGGGTACCTGGAGGGACATCTCAGCTGTGAATACATAGGTATGTGTGCTGTATGCATATACATATCAATAGACGTACATAAATACACACATACACACACACACACAAACACAAGACACACAAACACACATACACACACACACTAACACATACATACATATACATACATACATACATACATACATACATACATACATACATACATACATACATACATACTACATACATACATACACACACACATACATAACATACATACA